GTAGCCGTGTGGCAAGCCAGAAAATTCCTTATGCTCTAGATACTAGAGCAACCAAAGAATGCATAGTGTCTTCTTGTTAGATACAGAAAAGCATGGTAATTTTAGTACTTGGAGAACTGGCAACCAGGATTCAATTATCCTTCAAGTTCTCTCATGAAACCTAATTATATTCTGAATTCGCTTCTTGGGGTGTAAGTATCACAGCTGTATTTCTGCTGGGCAGGGAGAGTGGTCAACATTCCAGTTAGGATGCACATGCTTAAGAGACACAATTACATTACCAGTAGATATAGGCTGTGGTCACGCACACTAAATAATCCACATTCAATCCACTTTCAGTGCACTTTCCAACTGGATTTTATCATGTGAACTGGCAAAATCCAGTTGGAAAGTGCATTGAAAGTGGATTATTTAATCTGTGTGACTACAGCCATAATCTGCTGTGGTGCCAGGGTTCCAGAGACCAGTTCCTCCTTCGACAGTTTTCTGTCCCATTTCCTCTTTCTGTTGCCTTATAGTAGGGTATGAGCTTGGGCAGCATTCTCAGTGGGAGAACTTGATCCATCGTGCATATCTGAGGTTTGGAAGGAATTCCTCCAGATCAGATTTAGTTTAACATTCCCATGTAATCTGTGGCACCAGTTTATTTTCCTGAGGCATCTGGATTTACTTTATTTATTTATTTATTTATACCTTAGATTTGATATACCGCCCTAACCCCCGAAGGGGTCTCTGGGCGGTTCACATATTTGGTTGTTCTAAGAACTGCTTTTTCCTATCTTGACTATATTTATTCCTCCTTCTGAGACTGGCACTTTAGCTTGCTTCTCTTTTCTGCCCAAAGCACATATCATGTGAGCTGATCATTTCAAATCAGCACGGTTGCTCAATTAGCACAACTCAGTTTATTGACTAAAGGCTCAATTTGGTGCCGAAAGGCTGAGTTTTGCATTACCCGGGCAGCAAGGCTGATGGTTCCACATGGCTGATACTCACAGTGGTGAATCTTGAAATAGGGGGCTGTGTGGAATGGGCAGATGGTCTGACTGCTGCCTCCGCCAGCTGCACTGAAGCTCCCTGGGAGCCAGTGAGGAAATATTATTGATGCAGCCTGGGGTCGATTACATGGAAACAGCAGCCATGAGGTACAGGTACCATAAGAGCCACCAAAAGGCTGCGATCCTCGGCACGCTCGCTAGGGAGTAAGGGCCAGTTCACATGTTACAAGTACACTTGGTATCAGAAATGCAGTGACACTTTTCATGCATGCTGTCCCACTGTGATTGCAACTCTGGTGTGTGAGGAGAAGCAGCTTCCCCCTTCCTACTTGCACAGTTTTTTGTCCCCTGAAATTGCCCTGGGGAGCTGCTGGGGTGGATCCAGCCATTCTGCTCAGCAAAGTTAGAATCCTTCCCCCAGCTGGAGCTTTTCTCTTCCACCAGAGGAAGCGTTATTTAAATCGGAGGAAGGCTCCTTAGGCTGGAGGAAGGCTTCAGACTTACTATGCCAAGTAAAAGTGGCTGGATCTCACTTGCTCTTTGTTCTGTTGCAAAACATATGCAACTTACCTGGCTACACATACTTTTGGTAGTGGAACAAATAGCAGCTTTCTAGGGCCATTTCATAGGGTTCCCAGGTCCCCTTGCTGTGCTGGCTGGGGGAGGAGGATTTGGGGGGCATTCCTGGATGTTGCTGACGCGATGACAATACCCAGAACTGATGTCATCGTGTCAGGGACATCGTACCCGGACATGGCTGTTTCCCCCGCAGGTCAGCTGGCCACTTGCAGGCAGAAGCCCCCAAAAGCAGGGGAACCCCCACTGGGACCTGGTGACTGGCAGCTCTATCAATTCAGGATGCTAAAATGGGGTGGGTGGGTGCTGAATTCCTGTCTCCATGTACGCTGTGGTTGCAATCAGAACTGGACATGAATGCTTTGAGACATTACAAAAGCTGCTACTTTCTACATTTTCCCAAATATTGATAATGCCAGCTGGTTTGAAAAATGAGTGTGTTGTAGATAGATAGATAGATAGATAGATAGATAGATAGATAGATAGATAGATAGATAGATAGATAGATAGATAGATAGATAGAATTTCCAGAAAGGTGCACATGAGAAGAGCTAGGATTCAATAGTTGAACTGGGTATAGGTTTCCTTGGCAGATATCGTCGAAGGGCGTGTGTATCTGTGTGGAGAAGCCAGCATTAATGGAGTGAGCTGTGATTCTCTGTTGGCTGGATCAGTGTTAGCAGATGCTGGGAGAATGAATGAATGCCAAAGGATTTCAGTGTGAGTGCCCAGTTCAGGCATGCAGGAGGTTCTGTGACCATAAGTGTACACTACGAGCGCCCCAAAGCAGCGCTACCTTGTCCTCACTTCCAGATTTGTCAGCCATACTCAGAAGCATTTCCTCTGAAACTCTTGGCTATGCAGAATCCTGAGTCTCTTAAACTAAAAAGCATGCCTAAACATTACCTACTTAACAATGTGTTTTAGGTTATGCATTTCTGTTTGGCACCTTTTGGTTGTGTATATCTCAGCTAGAAACCCTCCCCACTTTGGGCCATGCAATGGGTTTTTGATTCTGAATATCATGTCCTGATAAGACTACATGCTCCACTGTCTGCAAATTCTTGATGCTCTTCTGCCCACTGATAATGCAGGAGCAGGAAGCCAAAGTGGAAACACTTTTTTCTAATGCATGAGAGGGGAATGTTCAATATGTGTTAGTCCATACTGGATTTCATACCATGAGGATGCAGGGAGAATTGTATCTGTTGATGCTCATTTGCTTATTCACCTGCACCAAATTCACAATGACTGTGGTGGGACTTCATTAAATTCCTTATGCATCCCAATGTAGCTGCCTCCCCAGGTAGCTGTCCAGAGGACACCATATAAACCGTGATTGCTGACATTTTAATTTTTTTGTGTATGTGTACATGTGTTTGTCTTGGGTTGCCTTCACTTGTAGCATTTCACTTGGAAATGACACTAGGTATTTCTATCTCACTTTTCTCTCACACTCCTGCTTGTTCTGTTCCCCTTCTGCCTTTCTCTCTTTCTCCTCTGACTTGTTTCTTCTTCTCCCTCTCCCCTTTACAACCCTCCGTTCCTAATCTTGCTTCCTACCTGTTGGAGTTACTTGTCCTCCAGTGGCTTGTGTCTTGGTGATCCTACTCACAACTCTTTTAGTTTTGATTTTTGCAAGATGCTCCAAATCAGTTCTCTCTTAATGTGAACATGCAATGTTTAGAATGGGATGGTAACTGTGCATCAACACCTTGTCAGATCCTCTTCAACAAGAGCCAACATCTATTTCACAGAGGTGGACCTAGAGTGATGCATAATCTCCCAAGAGGAGGACTGGCATCTCTTTAAAGAGGCTTCTGACTGTGTTGATACTGTCAGTGAGCTGTGATAGTGGAATGTCCATGTGGAAATGCTTTTTTGAAACATGAGGATGCTCAGACAGAAATGAGAGATTTTGATCAGCTGATTAATGTGGCTTCTGGAACAGCCTTTAATTTAGTGGATTCAAAACACTGAATCTGAGCCAGTGGGCTCCTCAAGGGGTAAGAAATGCAATTGAAAGAACAAGTGGGAAATATGGTTATCTATTTCATCAGAACAGACATCTGCTTTAGAGGCTCCAGTCCTAAAAGAATGGCTCTCATTCCCTGACCATGTGATGGTGCCACAGGCGATGTTCTTTACGGCAACCCTAACTTCAGGAATGGCATAGGATGTCTTGGCATCATAAATTATATTGGTTTTTGCTGCCTGAAGACAGGTTGGATATTTTTCATAGTGCTGGCTTGAATCTGAAAACTGCTTTGATCCCATAACTAAAAAGGCTAATTGCTGAGTGTTTTGTTTCCCAGTCTACCCAGATACTTAGTGCACCTAGCAAGAGGTTCTGGGATATCAGTGACTTAACAAAAAAGCATTAGGGGTGAGAAAAGGCTGGGAAGAACTAGACTCCCTTGTAATTGTAGGTCAGGAAAGTGTCCTTAAAATCAGGAATTGGAGAAAAAAATGTAGATGATAAAATTTTATAAAGTTCAAGTAGATCTGTTGATTTTGGCAACTCTGGCTGTAGGTAGAAAATAAACTAAAAGAATTAGATGAAACAGCAACTTGTATGGGCAAACATCTGGAGAAGTAATATTCGAGATGCGAAATAACAGGTGCTTCTGTAGAGATAAAACGTACTGCAGCACTGAGCATCCTCACTCTTTGTTTTCTTTTCTCAACGTGCTTGCCAAAAATTAGCTGCTCCTTCCAAGAGAAGGAGGATAGATTGTCTGTTGCACTGTATTTGACTGAAAGGATATGGCCCTGGAGTGCTTGAGGCAAAATTTGCAGAGGACCTTTCCTTTTGAATCAACAGAAGATCTGTTCTTTCTTATTGCTTTCCTAATCTCCCCTCACCACACACACACACGCACACACACTCACTCCTGCTCCATTTCTTGTCCACTCTTTCTTTCAGAGGGCATGTTTAAATTGCAGCCCAAGATTTGTCAATAGAACTATGGCTTTCCTGGGAGTATTTAAACGGAAATGAGTTTGTCTTTTTCTACCAGAAGCCTTGATTGGTTGCTTATTGCAGAACTGATGTCGCTGAATGTCACTTGCATATAACGTCCTATTCTATTGCTGCCTTCCTCTTTCTGGCCCTTCTTATTCCATACTCTTTGGTAGCATATCCAAAATCATGTCTGTCCACGTGACATCTGAAAAGGAACTTCATAGCATAAGCACCTGCCATGAGAATGCTCACTGGTGGTTTCACTGTCCTCTCAAACCATCAAAGAGACAAACAAGGGAATGTTTCTGAGCGAAGCACTCCAGGATGGCTGCATCTATTCAGCACAAAGATGTTTGTGTGTGTGCATGTTTGCATATTGCTGTGGATATAATTCTTTCCATGTAGCTTGCTGGTTGATGGAGAGTTTTTTTTTTAACAAGCCTCTTGCTGTTTCTTTGCAGGACGTTTTACCAGTTTGAAGCAGCATGGGATAGCTCCATGCACAACTCTCTGCTGCTGAATCGGGTCACTCCGTACAGAGAGAAAATCTACATGACGCTCTCGGCATACATTGAGGCAAGAACCACCAGTGCCTTCATAGCACCACCTCATAACTATAAGCCACACAGAGCCGGGCTTGGTACAGAGGCTCTCATCTTCACCTTCTCCAGCCCCTACTTGTCTTAAGGTAAAGGTAAAAGGTTCCCTTGCTCGAAAGCCAGTCGAGTCCGACTCTAGGGTTGCGGTGCTCATCTCCGTTTCAAAGCCGAAGAGCCAGCGCTGTCCAAAGACATTTCCGTGGTCATGTGGCCGGCATGACTAAACACCAAGGCGCACGGAACGCTGTTACCTTCCCACCGAAGTGGTACCTATTTATCTACTTGCAATTTCTTGCTTTCGAACTGCTAGGTTGGCAGGAGCTGGAACTAGATATGGGAGCTCACTCCATCATGCGGCAACCCAGGTCTCGAACTGCTGAACTATTGACCTTCCACAGCCTGCAGTTCAGGGTCTTAACTACTTGAGCCACCGCAGCTCCTTGTCTTAACCAGTCTTTTTTCCTTGTGATTTGTATGCATTCAGCTAAAGTTAACACCCTTAGAGAACACTAGAATAGCACTGGAGGACAAACACAGCACTGAAGCAAACCCTTTTGACAAATTCTACTAAGGGCAAAAAACAATAAGATGCTGATAGATTCAAGCATAGATCTTCCCAATGTTTTTTAAAAGGCAATAGCACTTGTGTGGGGACTTGATCTGGATTAGAGCCACAGGGAGGGGAAGAACAGGAGTTTAACCTTCCTGCTGTGCACAGGTGGCTTCTGCCAATTGAAATTAACATCCCCCCTCTTGTTGTTTTAAACAGAAACCAACGTCTAGTTGAAACCAGCACCTACCCTCTGGAAAGGAAAAAGACAGGCATTTTCTCTGTCTTTTTCCCTTCCTTTCAGGACTAATAACAGGAGTTCAGTTTAGACTAAGGATGATCATTTGTTAATCCAGGGCCTGGATTAACAAAAGCATCATACACAAGGGGGGCTCACTTTATTGTCAGGTGGTGACTTGCTCAAGGGCACCCTGACAGCTTCATAACACAGAAGAGACCAGAAGCTGTTCCTCTTCCATACAACTTTCTTTCTGTTATGCCACATACGATTTTGTACACTTGACTCTTTGTGAAGGTTGGGCATGTTCATCATCTTTCCATACCTATGACTTTGAAGATCCCCCCCCCCAATAGGGAAAGCTGGTAAAAGTATTTATATTTATTGTGCCTCAAGGGAAGACAGAAAAACCTTCTTAAAAGCAGCAGCACTGAGAAGGAACAAATTCTGAAACTGAAGCTTACTGGCTACTAAAAGGGGGGGAATGCCGGAGTCATTGGCTTGTCACAGAGATGACTTTGACTGACAGCAGTTGGGAGCCTGGGGAACTGTCTTACTGCTCCATGAGTGTGTTCCTGAGAGGCAGGGCCAGCTCTGACCAAAGTGTCATAATCTGCTTGCTGCTTTAAAGGCTAGTCATATTTTCATGACAACAGTGGAGAAAGCAGCTCTTCAGGGTCTGCTCTGCTCCTTGTAGAAGTTTATATTTTGTCTTCCAGCTGAAACCTTTTTAGCAAATGGTTTCTCATTTTAAAATGTAGTTTGGCTTGAAGCAGTACAGTAAAATGATATGTGATCTCCTATAATTGGCTTCCATGGAAAGTGAATAGCATATGAGTAAAATGACTTCTTTTCAGGTCCAAACTGCATATGAGACATGGGCTGCTTCCTTACAGAGTTTTTTCTTTACTTTGGCTACCAAAGTGGAGCACTTTTGTTGTTGCCGAGTGTTTCCTACTGCGGATCATCCCCCTGATGCTTTTCTTTTATCAGGAGAAAAGATAATGTCCTCATTTATTTCCCTCTATGGGGAAAGAAAGGCAGATGAGAAGAATTTGATTTTCAGTAGAGAAATGACCTGTGGCAAAAGGATTAAGCAACTCTGACCCATCCACTGATTGCTTGTGAAAAATAACAACCTCCTGCAACTGGGTTTTTTTTAACATTTTCAGACAACGTTGCATGCAATTGCACATTGCATGTGTTTCGGTCCCTAAATGTGTGGCATCATGTCCACATGAATTGTAAGGATCAATCATGGTGGCCTAGAGCTAGTGTGGTTAAAAGTAGCAAATTCTAATCTGGAGAACCGGGTTCGATTCCCCACTCCTCCACATGAAGCCTGCTGGGTGACCTTGGGTCAGTCACAGTTCTCTCAGAACTCTCTCAGCGCCACCTACCTCACAAGGTGCCTGTTGTAGGAAGAGGAAGAGAAGGAGATTGTAAGCTGCTTTGAGACTCCTTAGGGTAGAGAAAAGTGGGGTAGAAAAACCTCCTCTTCTTTCCTCATCTTCTCATATGGTGCCATTATGGTAAGCCAAGAACTCTTGAAGGGTAGTGGAGACAGACAGTGACTCCTACAGGGTGCTGCTGCCTGCAGGGTAACTAAGTGGCATGCACAAAGCAGTGTGTTTAATTGCAGTTGTGAATAAAGAGAAGCCCGCCCTCTCTTAGCTTGCTGGTCCTTTATGGCAGGGTTCCTATACAGCCGCATGACAGGCATGACAGGCAGATGTTTAGTCTGCAGTTACTATTTTGTTATCTTCATGTCAGGAAAATGAATAGCATTTCCCACGTTTTATTAACAGGGACACTCAAATGAGAGCCAGAGCTAGGGCTGCCAAGCCGCGGCGGGGGATCCGCACGTCTTCACAGGATCCCTGCCGCGGGGGACAGCGATATGCGTTGCACCACCGTCGCCAGGATGTGACGCTACGCGTCGCTCTGGCAATGGGACTCCAAACAGCCCTGTTGCCAGAGCAACGCGTGGCGTCACATCCTGGCGACAGTGGTGCAATGCGTATCGCTGTCCCCCGCCGCGGCTTGGCAGCCCTAGCCAGAACAAATGGTTCTTCTTCCTTCTTTGTAAGACTGTTTAAGTATGGTAGATCTCACAGAGCAGAAACAAAACTGTCCAAAGAGCAACTATGGCTAGCTTTCACCTGCCTTTGGTTAGGCAATAACCAAGGACGTAGACATGATTTCTTAACAGAGATGAGTAATACCCACAGATTTTCCTTATGATGTGTCCCAGGTGAAGGTAACTGCTCCAGATAGCAGCTTTACAGCATGCTGAGAACCTTGCAACAGAGAACAACTCATCATATACTAACAACCATGAATATCCCAAGCTTATGTAACTAGCAAGTATCCTTCCATTTCAGATGGAGAACTGCACTCAGCCAGCAGTGATCACCAAAGACTTCTGCATGGTTTTTTACTCCAGAGATGCCAAACTGCCTGCCTCTCGATCCATCCGCAACCTCTTTGGGAGTGGAAGCCTACGTGCCTCGGAAAGGTAAAAAAGCATCCACTCATTTTTCTATTGACAGAAGAGGATGAAAACATTTTTTAAAATCTGGACAAACATTTATATGTATTTATTTATTCACTCCATTTGTACCCTGCCTTTCCCCCTTGTAGGAATGGCTTGCAAAATGGCTTGCATGGTTCTCCTCGCCTCCATTTTTTTTTCACCACAGCCCTGTGAGGTTGGTTAGGCTGAGAGAAAATAATTGGCCTAAGAAGATCACCCAACAAGCTTACATGACACAGTGGGGATTTGAACCTGGGTCTTCCAGATCCTCGTGCAGCCCTCTCACTGCTACACTATACTGGCATATGTGGCTCTTAACATGATTAGCAACACTCATATGTATGAAGTTCGCATCCCTAATTTAAGGTTGATTATGGGGTATAAAACTGTGGAATTAGCATTAAAGGAGCAGCGTTCAGCTCACCAACTAGGGGAAAAAGTCCTTGGAGAGGGATTTTTATATCAGTAGTTATAAAATAACTCCTGATTGTGTTGTGTGTGTTGAGCTGCATTTCTTCTGTCATTTTGTGTTAACTTTTCTTTTCCCCCCATTGCAGTAACCGTGTGACTGGGGTCTATGAGCTCAGCCTTTGCCGAGTGGCTGATGCGGGCAGCCCAGGTAGGAAGCTATCCTTTGTCTTCTGCTTCACCTGAAGGGTTTCGATTAGCCTTATTAGCAGGACAGCTCGGCACAGAGTGTTGGGTTTGTGCTTAAAGAAGAAGGATACAGCATTCAAAGGGTATAGCATTAGTCCCTCTGGGTCTAACGTCCCAATTATAAACATCTGCAATAGCGTATTTACATGCGATATCAGTGCCAAAGCTGCCATAACCTGATACTTTATGATGTTGTACTACACAACGGCTGGCCTACTAAATCTGCAAAAGTCAATAATGTACCATTTCCAATAATGCATTTTGAGGATGAGAGTGGCACAGCATGCACAGTCTATATAGGAATGTTATTTTCTTAAAAAAAACAAAACCCTAAGACCCAACAACCAACAAAACCATGATAAGAATATGTCTAAAACCAATCTATTAAACATGTTGCACAGACAGGACATGAGCTATGCTTTATAGAGGCTGAAATATTTCCCTCTGCAGGGATGCAAAGAAGGCGAAGGCGTGTACTTGACACCTCTGTGGCATACGTGCGAGGCGAGGAGAACCTGGCAGGCTGGAGACCCCGCAGCGACAGTCTTATCCTGGATCACCAGTGGGAACTGGAGAAGCTCAGCCTTCTGCAGGAAGTAAGACTCAGGCCCCAAGACCCACCGTGGGGCAGGGTGTAAAGACCTGAGGGTGGATGGATTTAGAGAAGACACCACATTTCCCGTGATGTGACATACAACTGATTTCTTAGACAAAGATTAATCACTGTGTGAGATGAGATGACACGTTTTCACTCTCTACATGTTTTATCCATGACCTAACCCTGTCTTTCTTTCTCAAGGTTGAAAAAACAAGACACTATCTGCTCCTGCGTGAGAAGCTGGAAACAACTCAGCGCTCAGGACTGGATTCCCTGTCCCCAAGCTCCAGTGAAGACTCCGATTCCCGTAGTACATCTTATGTCTCATCTCCCATCTCAGCAGATGGGACCCCAGAGGGAAGGGCTTTACCACTGGACGCTCCCAGTGAGAGGCAGAAAGAACTTGCAGTCAAGGTATGGAATCTAGGATAGCACCATGGCATTCTGTGGGAAGGTTGCGTTTGGCTTCATTTTCAGCTTAGGTATGTGATGTGATGGCCATTGCTATACCTGTAGCCTTGCAGTGCCTGAACTGGAGATAGCAGGATACTGGCACCATGTCCCAGGATTGTCTTTTGCTCTGACGTAAATGGGCATCCCTGAATGACAGCAAAAGCTGCACAAGGTTTTAAGCTTGCTGTTGGTTTCTATTTGTCAGTTAGAATGTTTAGATGAATAGCATCAGAATCAGTTGAAGCAAACTCTGTTGAAGCAAATGGCAGCATTTCTAGAGATGACTTCTAACTATAAAAAACCATGAGGTCTCCAACCTTGTTGAGTTTTTTTGTACTTTTGGGATTTTGGAAAGGGCAATGGGAGTAGGGAGACCTCCCAGCCTCCCTGCTGCCACTTGGTGGGACCATGGGGGAAAAGAGTTTTACCATAGAGTTTTGGTGAATCCTACAGCATCAACCCAGTGCCATGACATCCCTTCTGGGTATTCACTAGATAAGACATCACGCAGTTAGTATGATGTCATCCTCTCTGTTCCTGTCCCCTCCTTTTCTTGCTGGTTGCCAGCTGCCACAAAATGGCTGTTATGTGAGGCAGGACCAGTTAAAAATGGCTGCCATAGATGGGGGAATCACAAATGTTGGGAGGTTCCAAACAAAGCGTCCTACTATGACAGGAGCAGCTGTTTTGGAATGGACACTCCTGCAGACACATAAGGGATGCTTGTTGGGCTCTTCTGAAGCATCTTCTGTTGTAGTAAACTGGAGGATGCCAGGATTAGCTCTCTGATTTGAGAATGGTGCACTTTGGGGAAGAAGCTACTGGGCATCCCAAAACACATCAGTGGACACCTTGATGCCTATGGATGCCTTGCTGGGAATCACTGGTTTAGAAGATGCAGGTGTTGTGCTAAAGTTTTTTTGCACACAAAAGATGCTGTTGCAGAGATAGAAAGATGGGATATTTGGTTTTCCAGTTCTTGAAGTACAAAAAATATGATTATGCTAGCCATCAAGTTACTAGTGTTTAAAATTCCCTCATATGGGCAAGCAAGGCTGATGCTTTCTTGGCATATGATGAGATGCCAACATGTTGTTATCAATAGATTCCTGAAGGAGCCCAATGTGAAGAACTTGATAGGTGCCCTCTCCATGTGAAAGCATTTTCAGAGAAGAAAAGTCATAGCCAATGGTTAATTCTGCCCTGCTACTGGCACTTGAGTCATTTGTTCTTCAAGCTAGATCTTTTTCTTTTTCCCCCCCTCTCTCCACAGTGCTTGCGTCTCCTTACTCACACATTCAACAGAGAGTACAGCCACAGCCATGTTTGTGTAAGCGCCAGTGAGAGCAAGGTATGAGAAACTCCACACTTCCCTTCTGTCCCCTGTTAATAGAGAAACAGGTAAGAAAGGAAGGAAAGGATGCTGCGTGACTGCGCCAGAACGGCCAGTTGGAGGTCAGGCACGTAGCTCTTTTCCTTCAGGAAGAGACAGGTGCAAAGTGTTGAATTTCTCCATGCCCATGTCAATTCTGGATGGATCTAAGAGACGTTGTTGCTTTTAGGAAGGGGGGGTAGTTTTTCTGGGCTAGGGTAAGATCTTTTTTATTGCATATGAAATCTTGTCTCATTTGGGAAAGAAAAGCTGAAATGGGCATTGTTTTGGGATGGAGAGGAGAGAATAACTTGCCTAGAGGTTTTCAAAGTCAGTGAAGGTCAGATGTCTTGGGAATACAGTTGCAGCAAGAAAGAGCACCCTCTGACTGTCTTTTTCCCTGAAGACCACTTGCCTCAAGTACATATGAGTCTTGAGCTTTTACAAGGTAGCACCCATGGACAACCGATGGGTGCAGATACTTTAATTGCACATTCTTTCCCAGGACTGCATTTTCTATTGTTCCTATACTGTTTCTCTAGATACAAATTTTGGGACTCTCCATTGAAGGCCTCTGGGATGAGGGGTCTGTAATCTTTTTGTACAAGAGAAGTATTTTTGTGCAACAGAGAAGAGTAGCCCATGCCGCTGCATGATCAAGACAGGATCACATGGCCAAGTACCAAACTCCAGCATTCCCTGAGATTAACGGAGTCCCACCAGACCTGCATACGGTCTTCATCCTGACAGTTAGCTTGCGTTGTGTAATTTAGAGAGTATGTTGTAAAGCAACGTTTCAGTTATGATTTTCCTTTTCATGCGTATAGCTGTCTGAAATGTCCGTGACCCTGTTAAGAGACCCCTCCATGCCAGCCCTTGGAGCTACTACTTTGACCCCCTCCTCCACCTGCCCATCACTGGTTGAAGGACGGTACAATGCCACAGAGGCTAGGTAAGTGAAGGGTGGGGTATAAATCAAATCAAATAAATAAAAAAATAAAATATGCTTCGTTTGAGAGCCTGTACCAACTTCATGGGAGGGGGGGCAACTTTTCAATGTTTCATTGAAGTTAAACACCTGCCTTCCCCCCCTGCAGAACTCTCCAGCTTTCTCCCAGGGTGGAAAGTCCTGACCTTGAGCCTACAATTGAAGGAGAACTGAAGAAATCCCCTACCTGTGGATCTGAGGATGAAAAAGAGACCCAACGCTTATTGATCCCTGATATTCAAGAGATTCGGGTCAGGTACAAGCTGTGGGCTTTTAGATAGGATTCTGAATGATGGTCCAGAGTCTTTCCAGAGGCCAGAGATGCTACTACTTTTCTGTTCCTTGATACCTCTTCTCTTGGGAAGGAAATCCTTCCAGTGCTGAAGCATATGGCAATTTAGAGTTTAGCATAGTTTCTTCAGAAAAACACTTGGAAGGCTATATTTACACATATTGCAAGCAAGGCGGGAATGCTTCACTGTGGAGAGATCCCCTGAGCCACATGGGCAGGGCCAGTCACACGGATCCTTCTGCCTCAGAGGCAGCACTTCACTCTGCTTAGGGAAGGTCCCTTCCAAGGAGACAGTGTCAAAACCAGATTCCGGGAGACTGTCCCACCAGTCTGCCACTGGCATCTTACTGCCTCTGGAGAAGGCACAAGCCCTAATACACTTCCCAGAAACTTGCAGCTACGGAGGAAGAAGAGAAAGCATAACAGAGAAGAACCTAGGACCAAACTAGTCATTTTAAAGTGATTTTAAAATGTTGTGAGGGCCTGATCAGGATTGGGCCTGCAGTGTGGCACTTTCACAGACATCCTGCACCCTATCAAGTGCCAAAACAGCAGCCGGGGGGGGGGGGCTTTTTCTACACTTTATAAGGCACCAGGGTGGTGGTGGTGGTGGAGAATTAGCACCTCAGCCAGTTGGGTTGAGGCCTTGCAGCATTTTTAAATCACTTGGCAGCATCCCTATGGTGGCCACAAGGATGCCGTTACATCTAGTTTGGACCTTAGAGAAGTGTGCAAACTGGAGTGGGCAGCCAGGTGAATTCCTCTGTACACCTTAACACCACATCACCCACTTGGAAACGGAGGAGGCCAGTGAGATTTTCGCAGAATCCCCCAGGCCTACTGTTATTTTGCAGAGCTGGTCTGGGCAGACATTCTCTGCCCAGGTGGTGGCTTGAATCTGCCTGTCGTGCCTATGAGGAATCTGTGAGCTCCTTTCTGAGCCCCATTTTGAATAGACCTCAGAGGAAACAGGCAAAGAACCTGCTGCCCACAGAAACAAAATCCAATGGAACAGATGTGATGAAGATCCGGGGGGGTCTTCGCCAGTCTTTAAAAGACAAATTACCTGCATGCCCCACTGCAGTCTGAATTGGGGCTTTCTGGGAAAGTTTCCCACTGCCAGGGCAGAAAGGTAGGTCTCATGTTCTCCCTGCCACTCTCATGCAACCTTGTGTCAAAGGTGCAGAGAGAGGATGGGGAGCTTTTAGGGGATAAATAGCCACAGGACAATCTCCAGTTTATTTGTCCCTGAGATCTTCCATAGATTTCTGGTCTAGGCAGTGCAGTCCCTCAGGCTAAGAATGGAAACTGCTCCCCACCCCCACCCCACCCAGATTCTGTGATTAAAAAAAAATATATTGAGAAACAATAAGGGTACAATATCCATCAACTTTCAACAGAGCTTCATCTATAAAGTAACACAAATTAAATAATTAACATTCAATATTATGATAATCATCCAGTTGTCATTACAAAGCTAAAATTAGCTAAGGCATCAGAACCAAAAGGACTTTCGTGTTTGAATATCCATTTCAGAAATGGAGCCCACTTATTAATTACATATGACTCATTGACCTGTACCTCTGAACATTGAATGTCATCGGAAATTTTTTCCATTATAAAATAATCCCACAATTCTGTATACCAAAGATGGATCGTTGGAAGGTTTTTGCCTTTCCACTTTATCGCTATTATGTTTTTTGCTGCAGTGACCATTGTCATAATCAGGTCTTTCTCAAGTTTGGAGACTTTAAAGGTTTCCCATAAATTCAAAAGGATCACCTCAGGGTTCAGTGGAATTACGACATTTGTTATACAAGCGATTTCTGACGCTATTTGCTCCCAAACGACCTTGCATGTCCACGAATTGTGGAAAAAGGTTCCCTTCTGACTGCAGTATTTCCAACAATTGGAAGACGCTAGTGAAGTACAATGAGACAACCTAGCTGGTGTTAAATACCACCTGGACACAACTTTATACGTTTGTAGTTGTAATGGAATCGCTTTGGAAGTATATGCCAGGGCATTCCATATTTTGTGCCATTGATCCTGTGAGAGCTCCTCACCTAAGTCTTTATGCCAGGCACCTTGATAGAAGTGGCAACTAGGATGCTCTGCTTTCAGTAAAATGTTACAGATCTTTGAAATTAGTCCCTTAATAGGAACATTGGCGCGATACAGTAGTTTTTCGAAATCGGTTAACCCCATTCGGATAGGGGGCCTAATGCGTAGCTAATAAATTACTGACTTGCAATCAATTGATAGTAAAGAACTAGAAGTAGCCTTACAGCAAATGAAAAATAACAAATCCCCTGGCCCAGATGGCTACACAGCTGAATTTTATAAATGGTACCGCTCTACTCTAATTCCTTTTCTTTTGGACATATTTAATAATGTTCTAAACACAGGTAAAATTCCAAACACCTGGACCAATGCTAAAATCACTTTACTTCCAAAGAAAGACAGAGACCCAACTAACGTTAAGTCATATAGACCTATAGCACTATTAAACCACGATTCTGTGATTAAGTCATCCAAATTACAGCAGGTTTTCCTTTAAAACTTCTTCTCAATCAGGTTATTTAGCCTCTTTCAAGGATTTCCTCAATGCAACAGAAGCAAATATGACTCTAGCCCTCTTCGAATGTTTGTTGTATTTTCACTAAACTTATGCAGAGGAGGGTTGGATCATTCCCGCTGGTCCTGCCATCCAGTGTCTATGCATTCAGCTAAGCACTGGTAGTCGACCCTTGCGTATGCACACTAACACACACAGAAGCCACCATACATTTAGGACCTACTTTCTGCAGCATTCCTGATCACATGGAGGAGTCTGTGCATGTATGCTTGTGTATATGTAGGGGCTTACTGCAAATGTTCTGTTGAATGTGCCAACATAAGGGGGTAAGGCTAGCAGCCATAATCCTATTCATCTCTACATGCATTGAGTGAACATCTGAAGAGGGCCCCAAATAATCCTAGTCTGACCTCACAGTGGCAGCTCTTTCACATCACAGCAGAAGCACTAGATGTGGCCTCAATTCTGCTTGCCAAGGGAAATGAATCACCCAAAGACCAGCAGCAGGGTCAAAGGAGATTTGAATCCTCTGCCATGATGAAGCATGTGAAAGCATGTTGCTGAAAGTAGGCTGAATCTCACTTCCTATGAGCACCTGTCTCTGCATAACACTAGGGTTTCCCATGCAAAGTGAGATAAAGTAAGCCAAAAACATGTATGCAAAACCACCCTTCAGGAATTCAACTTTTGTGCTGAAAGTCTGAACAGATCGGTGGATCTGGACCTGAGACAAAGGTATCATATCATTTAAAGTGTTTATACTGTTACAAAGTATAATGCCAGTGTTGTCTCCTCTACAGCCCCATTGTCTCCAGGAAAGGCTACCTACATTTCCTGGAGCCCCACACAAATGGCTGGGTGAAACGCTACGTGGTTGTGAGGCGACCTTATGTCTACATCTACAACAGTGACAAGGACTCTGTGGAAAGGGCTGTCCTGAATCTCTCGTCAGCTCAGGTGGAATACAGCGAGGACCAGCAGGCAATGCTGAAAGTAAGAACAAGATTATGGCTCAGAGAGAGCAACAGCTAGAGCCCAAGGCTGATCTAGAAAAGAAAGGGCCACAGCAATGGCTAAAGGGCTGTGAGAATGAGAAGTACAGGGAAAGGAATGACAATAGAAGAATCTAAGGGCCAAATGTATCTTTTAGTTTGGCCCTTAGAAGCGTGACCAGACTTATTGCTAAACAGGCTATACCCAGGCCATCTTTGGTTTCCCCACTACTTTACTCAAGGACTATTTTACCTCATGCTTTTAGTGCTCCATTCCCTTAGCACACAATGGTGCAACCAGTGCTTTCTTTCTGGGGGAACGTGTTGGAACGGAGTTCCGGAACCTCTTTGACAAAATTCATGAGTTTTCAGTATACAGATTGAAAATTTCATTTTCCTCTTGAGAGTTCTGGCACCTCTTTAAAAAAAAAAAAAAAAGCCCTGCTACTAATCAGAACCCATGCTCAATATACATAGAAATACCAAAACATTTTGCAGTTCATGCCAAAGTTTACAATTTTGTCTGCAACAAAACATCCTGTGAGCCTGGAAGGGGTTTGACTTGTCCTTCATATACTTAAATATGGTTCACAGGACATCATTTTTCTCCTTTACACTCAGCCACAGATTATCTTTGCCCTGCTGTTGAGAGATAGAAAACTCTGTCTGTTCCCATGACATTATTGGCACTGCTGTCCTGAGGGGGAACCATAGGAAGAAATTATTTAAGATGGTTAAGATCCTCATCTCTTACACAAATGTTTTAAGTGGGGTCTGAGGACTGATTCACACATTACAAAATCTTTGTGTCCCCCACATAGCTGCCCTGAGGACTTTCAATCAGACATACATTGGCAGTTCCATTCTGGGAACTTAATTCCCAGGGATATGCAGGCCTAGTTCAGGTCAGGACTATAGGTAGTGAGGGGCTTAAACTTTCCACCATGCCAATTTCCTGACCTGAAATATCCCCTGGAAACCACTATTTGCCCCATCGTGGAACCTTCTGTGTACTGATGGCTGCATGTACATTTCCCCGCCAGGACAAATAGCATCCCTCAGAGCCATTTCCAGTTGGGAAGGTGGGGGGGAGGGGACGGAGAGGCTTAAATTCCCTCTCCTCATGCACCACAGTCCTAATCTGAATCATTCCGGTGTGATCCTAGGAATTGAGCTGTGAGCGTGGAACTCGCAAAGCACGCCTGAGCCAAAATCCTTGTGGCAGCAACATGGAGGACATGAGGATGCTGTAACACATGAATTGACCCCAAGGAAAAAACTGAGTGGATACACAATTGAGATAATTTTGTAGGCAGCCCACACATATATGCTGTAGCCAATGCTCCCTCTAAGATGCGGAGTTTTGTGAGCAAAAATTCCACCTTGTGAGCTACTGGCATTAAAGCTGTGAGCGAGCAATTTGGCTACTGCATCAATTAGTTTGCTGTGGAGCCATCCTTCCTGAACCGAGACAAAAATGTGTGAGCCAGAGGCTAACAAACGGTGAGGTAGCTCACACTAACTCAGCTTAGAGGGAACACTGGCTGTAGCTGTGATCATAGCAATCACCTTTACTCCAGGATGGAGGCAGAGGGCTGGCCCTGTTCTGGCTAAAATGGGACACAGAGTTCCATATTTGCAAAATATTGTGTGTGTAAATAGTTATGTATCTGGAGGCAAAGTGTTACATCATGAATAGTCTTAGCCCCAGAGTATAGCTTTGAAACAGAACTAAACATAAATTCTGGGAACATTTGGTTTGGATAGTAATATCTACATTCATTAAAAAAATGTATATGCCCCACTGCACTCTATTTCTGTATTGCTATATTGAATGCTTCACTGTACCATATTTCTATGTTGCGGTTAATCACAATATCTCCCCCCGCCCCCATTTTAGACACCCAACACATTTGCAGTGTGCACAGAGCATCGTGGAATCCTGTTGCAGGCAAGCAATGACAAGGATATGCATGACTGGCTGTATGCATTTAACCCTCTCCTGGCTGGATCAATAAGGTAAATGAATATTTTAACAGCCACCCTTCTGTAGTAAGAGAAAATTCAAGGCAGACAGACAGCTTTGGACTTCGCTGCCCAAAAGGCTCAGCCTTCCTGGTTTGGCTCAGAAGCCTGTTCTGGGTCTCTCTCTGAAGATGGGCTGGAGGTCTGGGGGGTCATTCTGCCTCTACCTTATTCTCCCCTCACCAGCATTAATTTTTTTTTCTTCTCTCATTTTCTTCTGCAGATCCAAACTGTCTAGACGGAGAACAGCCCAGACAAGAATTTAGCCTCAAAATGCCCCCACCCCAACTTTCAAAAAGGATCAAGATAATGGGTGCTCTCTAAAGGTCCCCATCTTAAATTTGGATCACTCCTGTCCTCCATTCCCCCAGAGGCCTGTTCCACAGAGTTCCAGCTCCATCTCGTTACAGCTTCATTGGCCAAACTCAGTCTATGGTACCTTTAAAAGCCTGGCACACCCTGGCTATGATGCATTCTTGTGCACATGTGATCTTCCACCCATCTCTGTATTGGGTGACCTGAGTGACATATGACCAGTAACAAAGCAAGAGCTGTTTAATTATTATTATTATTTATTTTTAAAGCAACATTTTCAAGATGCAGGAATTTGCCTAACCTTGAAGGGTGCAAATCATGTGGAATTATTATTGAGAGGAGATGGAAGCTATAGGGTTGTGTACTGATCATTCATAACTTATTGACATTTTCAAAATTACTTACTAAAGCAAGAAAGAGTAGTATGGGATTATATTTATAAAGTATTTATTTCTATTATGTCACTGAAATGTACATTATGTTTGTTTCTCGTATTTACACACATACATTGTGCTACATCCCATTTTTTTTGTAAAGAAAAAAAGTATAGAAAGCTATCCGGTGGAGCAAAAGGAGAGGGCCCTGTCTGCCACTTTGAGATGTTACTTTTATGATGTTTACATTTGACTGTTTGTTTTTTACAATGTAATCCTATGCAGAGTTAGTCCAGTCGAAATCAATTTGCTTTAAACTGGAGAAACTCAGCATAACATTGCTCTGTTAAGGAGCAATCGTGCAACTTGGAAGTAAGTCCCATGTTATTTCGTGGGTCTTATTTCCACGAAAGCGTTCATAGGACTACAGTCTTAATCACCTTGTCAGTTGTTGTTTTAGTTCAGCCCATGTTCTACTGTGGATGTAACATCCCCCCATCTTTTTTTTTTTTTAAGAAAAGCAGCTTCAGGAGGCTATAATCTGTAGTGAAGTTGCTTATTTCTTTTCCGGGGAGACAAAGTTGCTGGAGGGAGGAAGTTAATTTTGAAAACAGCCCGTGGTGGAAGGATTAAACACCCCTCCCACATCATTCTTCCCCTGATGCTCATAGCCTCCTCAAGCTGCTTTTCATTTTTTTAAAAGTCAGAGGACTGTTGCATGCACTTGTGAGTTACGCATAGTTGGCCTTCAGCATTAAGTCAAGTAGGGTTATTTTGTCAGAGAAAATCACATACTCTTCCCAGTACTTGAATCCAAGTAACAGCAGTCATTGCCCAAATGATTCTGTTTAAAGAAGGGGATTTTAATTATATTTTATTAAAAGGCACTGTTAGGGTTTGGGAAAGGTATGTATATCCTAGATAGGCTGTAAAGGAGACAAAGTCAGAATGAAGAAAGGGCCAAACTAGATATGAACAGGGGATTCATGTATATTTATTCCCATGTCTGATTTTAACAGAAAATGTAACATGGATGGCAGATGCACTAAAGCTGTCCCCTTCCCCTTCCTATCTTGCTGTATTTTTTCCAAGACTGGTTCCAATGCAAACTGAGCCAGGCTGGAAGAAAAAAACACATAGCAATGGACCTAAATTGAGAGAAAAATGTTTTTCCTGTTGTTGTTTTTTAAAGACCTTACAACTTCCCATTTGAACTGACAGGCACATGAAGAAGCCCACAGAGATCACTCCCTTCCTGCCCATATCTACTTTAGTCTTGAGAGGCTCCATCTTTATATTCCTAGTCACCAGACATAGACAGGAAAAAATCAGCCTGTCTCTTCTGCTGTGTACTCTTTTGTCCTCTCCTGCAGGGCTGGGCAAACTCACAGCGGATTCATCAGTATCACATATATACACTAAGATTCTTTCTTGTAGAGCACCAAGATGCTAAGTATGTGTTCTCTCTGGCTAATGAGTAGTACTTGAGATCATGACCAACATTTCTTTAAATAAGTACTTACAAAGAAGGATTGTGTACGCAGATTATGTTGTTTCTTCTGAGCTAGCAGGTTGCTGTAAAAATCCTAAAAGAAACTATTTGAGGGGAGATATTTATCTCTCAGACTATGTCTAGTATGGATAGTTTAGTGAAGACCTGTCTGGGATCAGATGACTCAACATTTCTCCAATCAATCAATCATCCACGCTACTTACATTTTATTTTTTGCCAAAGAGTCTCTTGAGAGAATGGGAACAATATTCAATCCCTTACAGTGGCAAGGAACAAAATAGGTGAGATATGCCTATTGACAGGGGGCAGAAGGGGGGGAGGGATTTGTAACATTTGTCAGTTTCAGATATCTACTTGGAATCCTTGTTGGTTTCAGCCACACTGCCTGTTGCTGGGAAGGGAAAGGTCTGTCCTCAGTTTAAAATTTGCTCAGTGGTGTGCATTCCATCAATGGAGCTTATATTTTCCAAGAATGAATAAGACTCAACATAAAATGTTCAAAACACTGCAAATAATTTTTAAACTACAGAATAAAAGCATTAAAGTAAAAAATGATTTTTTTAAAAAAGACTGCAGAATGGCACAGGCATGAGCATTATGAGTAGTGAAGCGCATTACCATTCAAGTAACCAGCAGTATCAGTTAGAATCCTATAACATACAGCTCCATCCACAAAGTGATTGAAATTGTAATGGTTGCACTATCAGAGAGAAAAACTGTGTTTTCTAAATACTAAATATAAATACATGTAGCATTGGGAAAATACAACACCGCTACAGCTGGGTACAACTTTGAAGCAAGGTCTGGATTTTCCTCAACAAATAAGTAATTGCTGTTCATTACACTTAAATCTGATTTCTTGAAAAGACCCTTTATCATTTTCTTTTACTGGGAAGGGTAGCTTTGAAGTAGATAACAGGAATGTAGGAAGGATAGGTAGGATAGAGCTGGAAGAGTGAGATGTAAATGGACTATTATTTTCTCTGTTGTATCTGATTTTAGCTCTCATTCCAAATATTAAAACACACTGGCACTTCATACTCCTCATTTTTGTGGAATAGTAGTATTCTAAGTGGAATGGTAGAGTCAGAGGGTGAAATTTACCAAAGTGGAAACATGGTAAAATTAAGAATAGCTAATTTCCCTCGGAGCAAATCATTAAGGATGATTTTTGCATCAAAAAGTAACCTCAGCTGCAAAGGTCTGTATTTATCTGTTTTATTCCCCAAAGTTGTTTTTCTTTTAAATTTCAGAGCTCTCTTTTATACATTTTTAACTTGGTTATGTGTCTAAATCCAACTTTAGGCAGAACCATGAGGATTCTGAGTCCTCTCTGTGTATGTGCCTGGATCTTATATCATCTCACACTGATAATGGACCTTATTTTGCACAGGATGGATGCACTCTGGTTTAGTTGTTTCTCATTTTTCCACCTGATTAGTTGTGTTTGTTTGGATCTCTACGTGGTGCCCAGATGAAATGGTCTATGCAGTGTTATTTCTTTTTAATTACATATTGCTTCGAATGTAGTCAGGAAATATGGGTGAAAAGAAGGTGGGAGCCACAAGAATCCCTTCTGCAAAGACTCAGTGGGATGACCAAAGTACCATATTCATATGTAATCTTCAGATAATCCTGCAAGAACCACGGAAAGAAGAAGGGGGTCACTTACAAACTCTATAGAAAAGATCCCAAGCTCAGTTATCTCATTCCCTGGCCAGGAGACAGTTAATGTTTACTTCATTTTTTGGCTGCCATTTCTTTTTTTCCTCCTACATGGCATTCCTTCTGTTCCATTTTGTCTCACAGATCAAAAGGTAGAATGAGTGCTTTCTTCTCTTGCCAGATGTTGTGAACCTAACCTATACACCCATCTTGTGTTCTTAGCTTCTCCTTCAAGAACTCAAGGTTAACAAATTAAATGCTCACAGTCTGAGGCAACTGCTTGTGTATTCAGAGAGGGTTTTCTTTCTATATGTGTTGTCCAGCTTCAAGATGAACATACAAGAGTTTGTCAAGCGATATTTTTATTCCTTTTTGTATCACCTTGATCTACCCTTTCTGTCTGCAAAATGGGGAAAAGGCCTTGGTGGGCAACCCTAATTCACTTCAACTTTCCACCCTGAGGCCAAAGATATAGATATCATTTAACGGATATTAATTGTTGATTCTTGCATTCAACTTAGATCTGGCATTCCCTGAAATAACTGGAAACACTCCCATTGACCTCTTTGAGCACTAGATCAGACTGGCTGACCACAGCACTTTTATGAACACAATTCATGGACATCTAGCAAATAAAAGTCGAAATCCAGATTTTAAAAAATGTCCCGAGTACTTGTTATACTTTAAAGTGTTCCATGTAAATCTGGAGACAATTTAAGGAAAGCATCTGAATTTCTATCTATGGTAAAATAGATTTGAGATATAATCAGAAGAATCTAATTTGTACTCCCCTCTGGACACAGGAAGGCTTTCAGAGTTTGATAAAAGTAGGCCCGGAGATATTTATGCCTTTTGAAGATCTATCCCTGTGGGCTGCTGTTCTTATTATATTGCCTGTTTTCAATTGGGGCTCCAGAAATACAGGCATATATAAAATCCTTAATTCTCAGCCAAAATTAAAATTTTTAACATATTTTATTTATATCCATTTTAAGTCTCTTGGTTGTTACATAATATTGTTGATAATGAATGAAGAAGTCATGTCAGTATCTTTCCTTGGCTGCTTTTCTTTATTGGTTTAGAACAAAAGAAAACAAAAATGTGTCTAATTCCTGCACTGGAAATCAGGAAGGAGGCGTTTGGAAGGGCTGCGTTGTGTGGGGCATGGCTTAGGTCAGCCAACCTGAAGACCATGTTCCTGATGTAGTGCATTGTGGGGCTGAGTCTGATTTCAGTGGTCCATGTTGCTGGGGCCAGCAAACCTGCAGACAACATGACTGGGGTAGGGATCAAAGGCTTGACCCAAAGACCTGAAAGAAAAATCAATGGGAATTCCTAAAACTGGTCTTAAAGTGACTCAAATTTTGATCTTTGAATTCATGGATAGTACCTTATTTATCACCTGCCTACAAACTGCAAACTCTTGCTACTGTGGAGATCCTTAAAGGATTTCTTCCATTAAAACTTTTTGAAGAATAGTTACAGAAGTTAGCAAATTGCAATGTTATTTTTATACTCTTGC